TAAATAAATAAATAAATAAATAAATAAATAAATAAATAAATAAATAAATAAATAAAGCAAAGAGAAGCTTCACCTGAAGTTGACCAAAACAAAAGTACTGGAGTCGTAGGCAGGAACCAGCTCACTGAGAACACAAACAGATGTTTATAAAAACAGAAACAAAGAGCCAACATGAAGGTTTTTAACTGGGGGCAGCAGTCAGCTGACCTGGTGAAGTCTGGGGGGACTGGTGTGGTGACGAAGGACTGCATGGGTTTCCTGTGGACCTGCTGGAACATGAGCAGGATCTCTGGACTCTTTGAGATCAGCTCGCTCTTACTGCAGGAGTGAAGCTGCTCGACACCAACAGAAAAGAGACGTGATCAACACACAGCCCAACTGGTGTTAAATCAGCTTCAACCTAACCCTAACCCTAACCTAACCATCATTATGAGAGACTGTGCAAAAGTTTTAAGCCTTTTAAAGTGGTGTTCAGCAACAGTTTTCTGGACTTCTCTCAGTCCGGCTCTTTGGAAGTGTTGTGTAACAAAACGAGGGCTGACTTAAGACTTTTGCACGGTGAGATTGGCAGTAAATGACCYACCTGATGCTCCACTTCCTGCAGCAGAGACTCCAGCAGCTCCGTCTCCTGGGTCAAGGACGTCTTCTGGCCTGGTGGGGAGGAGGAACAGATTTCTATTTTCAGCGTGGCGGTGCGAGCTGATGGAGGCTGAGTGCATGCCGTCCACTCAAGCAGAGTAAATATTTAATGTGAGAATAAACCACAGCTATAGAGAGGCACTCATTGCCTCTGGCATGGGAAAATAAAAAATAAAATCTAAACGTGGCGTGTTCCGGGTGCCGACACGGTGACTCTTACCCATCAGGGTGATGAGTTTATTCTTCAGCTGGTTGTCCAGACGGGCGATCATCATCTCCACCGCGTTTCGGATCTCCCGGACCCTCTCGTCCTTCGCTCCCCTCACGGCCTCCACGTTCCTCTCCTGACGCAGCCGACAGACTCACATCAGTTTAGGACGCACAACACCAAAACACAACGCACCGAGCTTCAAAAACTTTTTTACTTAGGTTATAAACTAGGGATGCAGTCGATTAATGGTTTATTAGATTAAAGTTTTTTCCATTTGATTAATTGAAAACATCCGTTTAAACCTTATTTCGGTGTAGTTTTGACTTCATCCAGCAGAGGGCGCTGCTGCTCTACCTCGGCCCAGTTGAACTGAGCAGCAGAAGGCCGTCTATGGGTGGGACCGCAAACACACAAGTCTTATTTAGTTTTATTTGCGACACAACAATAATAATGGATCACACCAAACCTGAAGGAAAAGTACTGAAGCCTGTACCGGACTATCCAGCAGTATGACGCTAAAAACAAGAGAGAAGGATGACAGAGAACGGTAAGCTAACTGTGGCTAACGTTAGCTTCCTCTCGTTGAGTTTAACTCGTGTGAAAGAACAAAACAAAACAAAAACGTTACAGTCGCTAAAAATATGAAGTTAATCTAATCTGTGTGACATGACCCGACCAGTGAACCAATCTAATAAACAGTAACTGATGTCACATGTCCAGCAGCCCAGCTAAGATAGAAGCAGACGGAGTGTAAACAAACAAACAAACAAACAAACAAACAAACAAACAAACCAGTACTCATTTGTATCTCACATCTTTCAGAGATATTTTATTATGTTCTTAAGTTTATTTTTGAGTTAATCTTAAAATGTGTTTAAATAAGTTTTTCACCTTCAGGATGGATTAAGTGTTTTACTTATTTTATTTTATTTTTTTCAACTAGCAACTTAACAG